GCAGTAAATTAGGAAGGATAGTATCATTGGATGTAGCCGATAGTGATTCATTGATTCAATGATATTTTCGTTTAGGATCGAGCTCTATTCGAGATATTTCAATGCATAAATAACAAAACCATACCGTGTCAGAATGAAGCCGACTACCCACTGCATTCCTGCTCCGAGTGCATTTGTGGTTATGTATGTTTTTGTTTAACAGTTTTGCTTCTTCTTCTATTTTGTTCATTCGTTTTCCATTCGTTAACTATTCGTTAGCTATTTGTTAGCTATTCGATAGCTACATTTTTCACCATCAGCTATTTTCAGGCTAGATTCAGAATGTACGTCATAGTTTGCCGCCCCGAAAATTAGAAATTGCTTTAATTTGAGAATGAAAACGACTTGGACTTTATCGGTCCCCATTCTGTACAGCGTGGACATAAAACTTCCGAACTTATTTTATGAAAATGCATCTGAAGGAAGCTTCCCCACTTGTCAATTTGGTATACCTACCTAATACCATTTAGTGGGAGACATGTCTTGAATTCGATACTATATCGTATGAATGATTCCATACTTTTGATTAACTCGGTATAGGTATACAATCATTATCTTGGAAAAACATTGCACCTGGTTCGATCGCTCCAGTAGGTAAGCAACGCGCTGCTCGTCATGTGACACAGGCTTCCCCACAAAAAGGGCAACACTTTTTCAATCGGATACTGTTTAATTGGACGTTCTATCGAAAGACATGTGTTCAATGCACCTGTTCTATCGATAACCGTGTGCCTCTATTTGTGCCCCTAGTTTCCGTCAGTTCCCGCATTTCATGTTAGGTACAGTCGTCTTCAGAAAACATGTCGCGGTTGGACGGTGTAAGCGCTCTTGTTGCAGCAGTGAGTTAGAGAGCATACACCGACCATGTGCGACATGTTCACTGAAGACGAGTGTACGTTGGTTGTACACAGGAATATACTGGGCAGCTCAATGATGTTTCAAGGCGTATTAATGCGAAATTTGCATAGTTTTAGTTAGTCTCAGCTCTGAGCATTGTCTTCGTAAGATTTTTATTAATATTTGTGGAATATATCGAATTAGAAATGAGCAAAATCAACTATAAAAAACTCGATAAAATGTTTATGCTTTTTCAGTACATTCTCCCATCATATATACCTAAATAAAAAATATAATATCTTCTTCAATGATTGCCAACTCAAACACGCGAAATAATTGTATGTTTATCGCACCAGCAGAAACCAAAATTCAATTCTGTTCCAATAGATTTATCACTTCAGTGAATATTGCCCCCAATCGAAGATTACTTATACAAAATAACTCTTTGAACTCAGTCATGATTACCAACATATACATATAGGCTCGCATATAGGTGAATAAAACTAAAGTTTTCTAGCCAATAATAGGAGTTTAATTCTATTGAATGATTCAAGTGAATATTACCAATATCTTAAGCTCTATATGATCAAGAATTCATTCAATTATCAGGTGATGATTGAAGTAGCGACAACGTCGTAGAGACTCCAGTGAAAATTTCATTGGTGAGTGCATTGGTGAATAAAAGTAAGCTAGTTTCTAAAGCCCTAGTGCCTGTAACTGAGAACATACTAGTGGGGTAGCATATAAGCATTCGAAGTTCGAAGTAAGTAATCAACTTTCAAGACCAAAACTATGGCAAAAGTTCTATAAATTCACCATTATATTTCACGTGAATATTTCCCCAGAGAGGAGAAATATCGAAAAACATCAAGTTTCCTGATGTGGCTGTTTTTCTTAGCTGTCTATAAATTTGTGTTTTCAACAACACATTTACACATAAAAACCACATACCGCTTTAAACACACTAATTCCTCCTTTCCAAGCCATGACAGCTGAACAACGTGTTTGGATTTAGTCAGATATCCACTTAATGATGTTCATTTGAATGGTATTCTCTTGATGCTTATTCACAGCTGCTTGATTCACAGTGATACAAACATAGTAAAGTTATGAACTCTGAACAATTATTGTGTTCTCGAGTCTTGACTGTCAGTTGTCAATTCAAAATAGCTTCCTAGCAAACACAGGTACATCACAGAGATATCTCAGCGATGCAACAATTATTGTGAACTGCGATATCGCATTCTATGTCGCATAGACGTCGCTGCTATGTCAGAGGGATGTTATTTTGTCACACTCAAGTTTCGTCCATGCGACGTCGCTGCGATAAGTTCTCTGCGATATAACAGCGATATATTTTTCCCAATGTAATTGCGATATGTCATTTGTGATGGAAAAGCGATATGTTTTTGTGATGAAACTAAGATGTGACGCGGGATGAAGTAAATACGTTTCCTCAAACATAGTGTGATAATACATCACTGTCCTCTGAGGACAGCTGATAATATTAATTATCTACTGTTGTGAATGAGAATGAGATCATCAGTTACTCGGTATTTGTATCAAAAACTATGTAGTGTGTGTCGACGAGATGTAAGCAAACCAAGAAAAGTTAGATAGCATTGTAACGAATATTTGCGAATTTAGCATCACTTTGTTAAGTAACGTAATATTCATTTATTCTTTTTCACCCAACAAGAATCTAAATATAAAATTTTTGGAGAATTCTGGAATACGAAGTCCACATGTGTACATCGCTGCGATGCAACATTCGTGATATCGCAGTATTGCCTCATCATGACATCTTAGAGATGTCTGGTCGCAGATATGTTTGCTTCTGTACATCGCAGCGATGTTTCTTTTGTGATACCGCACTGTTACCTAAACGCGACATCTCTGAGATATCATGTCACAGATGTATTGGCTGGGTTATTCGATTTGATCGGATATTGTCATAATTCCAGATATCTTCATTGCATGAGAATGGGCAGTTTGGATATTATCATCGATCATAGAATTCGTTAAATCAAATGAATTATGTTTTACGACTTGAAGTTCCGGTATTGGATAATTCCAGAACTACCTACCATTCCAGATTCTCACCCCCCAACTTATAACCGATCACGAACTTTTCAATTCGGGTATAGGAAATTAAACTCTCCAGTGAACATTTTCATCGTCCTTTCCTGTCTCTCTATCCCATTTATTATTTAGGTCGCCTCCATTGGAGCGGGTCTGTTTGCACCGAATTTATCCATTTTCCATTATTAAACCGTAATTAAAATTCATTACGGCCAAGCCACCGGTATTATTTGCCCGAATATGTAGCCACATGGAAATGTTCGTCTCTCTGGAATCAAACTTGGGAACGTAAATACGAGTCAAATATCCCGAAATAATATTGCCTCACTGCCCTTGGCGGTAGTGTGTATCCCTAGTAGAATATAAACACATTTACAATGTGTAATCTGAACAAATTACGAAAGTGTGGGGAAGCCATTATTTTATTATACCACAATTCAGATGAAATCTCTTGATACTAGAAAATGACATAATAGTATACCTATTTCATTACGAGTACTGGAAATATGGATTTTTCCGTGAGCGAACACGGAAAATCATTTCTGGACGAGTAATGAACGATATTTTTAATTACACTTCGATGAAAATGAAAATATAATAATAAAATATTACATAAAAAAGACATAAAAAAACTTGGAACAATTTTATTCTCACAGTTGTAGGAATGAAAAAACTTGGAACTACTAGACCTGGATTTTACTGGTGATAAATTCGCGGTCGCTACAGGAATTTGAGGATTTTGAGGGGACCTAGTTGTGGTTTTTCTTCCACAGTCAGCTGGTGTGTTCCCAGTATGTTCAATCCTCTGTGATGTAGGTACAGCGTCACACTCCATCAGGTGTTTCTGGTTCTTCCTCACAGAATCTGCAGGTGCCGTCCTCCTGTAAGCCTAGCTTCCTTAGGTGTTCTTTGAGTCTGCAATGCCCCGTTAGAAATCCCGTTATTGCTTTGAGACTTCCTTTCCTGAGGTTTATCAGTGTCTTAGATCTTTCTCGGTTGAAATTTCCGAAGAGATATTTAGCCTGCCGTAGTCCTGGAAGTCTTCTCCATTGTTTGGCTCACAATGCTCCTTCTCCTTGGAAATAGGAATTTCCAAGGCCTCAGAATGGCTCTGGTCCGATCAGTGGCGTTGAAGCCCCTTGTCGTGCCAGAGTGTCTGCTTGTTCATGCCCCTCCACTCCGATATGCCCTGGCACCCAGGGAAGGATCACTTTATTGTCACTGCCTAGCTCATTCAATTGGCTTAGGCATTCCCATACCATCTTCGAGTTGATGTTAGAAGAGCTCAATGCTTTGATGGCTGCTTGGCTATCGGATAAAATCGCGATATCCTTCTTCCGGTATTTCCTGTCTAGGTTGAACTGGATGCGTCTTTCTATGGCGTGTATTTCCGCTTGAAAAATGCTGGGGAATTGTCCCACGGATTCGAAGTATTTGGTGCGAGGCCCAAAGACTCTTGCTGCTTCGATAGATTCTATGCTCCATTCGCGCTTGTTGCTCAGTTCCACTCAGAAGTTCATCTCAAAACTGAACTTCCTAATGATTTGGTCTATTGGAAGATCGGCGAGGTGTGCAATCTCAGTGAGGGGTGACCCACTTGCCTTGTAACGTTAATAACTATATTTCTCAACTGTTTCTTCGTCTGTGACACAAAAACACTCATTTCTCAAGTGATTTTGGTAAAACAATGAGGTACATCGAGAGCTACATTGTATATCTTCAATTCCATATCTTTATCGGCGATAATACAAAAATCTCATTGTCTTGTCTATGAGTGCTCGCATTACAATCGATTGTTATTTAGCCAGAAATCAACGAGATCCAATTGCTCAAAGTGAGAGAAAAAGAATGGCGTATGAACATTGACTACATTCCTCGGAAGAGGAGCAATTTGAAAAAAAAACGATGACAAATACCTCAAAAAATCAAATTTGCACACCAATTATTTCTTAACCTATAGTTTTTCCCACACATCAACTTCTTTCAAAATCATTTCATGACATAGAACCATGCATTTTTTTAAAGTGCTCCTTCTTTTGCAGGTGCGGACGTTATTCGTGAGTGGCCTACCAATGGATGCCAAGCCTCGGGAATTGTATTTATTATTTAGAGCATATGAGGTGAGTCTGGAATTCCACGTATACCTTTCCATACTAACTTCATAACGAATCGACAAATTTGCACGTTTCGTCGTATTAATATTCGAAACATATTTTCAACATTGCTACAATATGCCATGCATGCCAGAAGTTGATACTAACTCGGCATTTTTCATTCCAGGGGTACGAAGGATCGCTTCTCAAGGTCACGAGTAAAAACGGGAAAACTGCATCGGTGAGTGGATGTACATTTTTAATGTATAACTACATCAGTTTGGTTGCTTTGAAGGTGTGGAGAAAATCTCATCTTTTGAATCGCACGTAAAGGAATCCCTGTTCGTGAAACATCGAGGTTCCGAAGTTTTTTAATTGTATAGGTTATAAGTCTATGTGAATAGAGCAACTATGTAAACAAATTGAGTATTGGAATAGAGAGATCTTCAGCAAAACTCAATGTTGACTACAAATAATGGCAATACCTACTATATTTAGTCCATATACAAGGCGATTCATTGAAAGTACCATGAATTGAAGGGCCAGTAGGCAAGTCTGGTAACATTTATCGAAATTTTCTTCATAATTCAGCTTTATCTACAAGCCCTTGCAAGGCACTTGCAGATCTATGACTTCTTCTGATGTAGCTAGAATCTGTTTCAGTGGCATCATTGAAGTCAATTATGCTGATATTAATCTGAAAAAATATGTCACTTTGAAATAATTAATATACCACTTGAAATTTTTCAAATCGGTCAGCGTTTTCGAGAAAAATACCTTATTCGTTTACCTATATTTGTTCAAATATTTGTATCAAAGCTAGACATGGCGTTAAATTAACCTTATCGCTGAAAAATGTTGAGTTTTGTTATACAAGGAGTATCGAAATGTTATATTTTTGTTCTATCTATATTGAAACATTCAAGTGAAATTTCAAACAGGGAAAACCTCAGAGTCTTTACCACAATAGTTCATGAAATTAACGAACGGGAGAAAAACAACTACTTTCCTGGCTATATCGTGTCACGCAAAACATTTAAATGCATCCTCCTGATATCTATGCAACGATTCGTAAAGACATGGTAAAGACGCATATATACAACTGTAAGTAGTGTAAGTGATTATTTCCTAAACGCTAAGCTGTACTAAACCCTAGCCCCACTTTTTCCTCATGCACAAAGTGATTTGGAATTGTGATTTCTGACTCATTTTGTATATAGTTAGGTTACTCCTACAGGTTTGCATCATTTGAAATTTGTTTCTTGACATTGACAGATGGTATTGTTGAATGGATCATATATGACCCACTGGTAACTTCTGAAATGAAAGTTCAAGTCGTGTCAAATCTTTATTCAATATAATTTTGCAGTTTTATGTATAATATGCCGTGAAACAGTGTCGGCAAAGTATAGTTACTTGACACATTCTGCACAGACGATTGATCATCACCGCTGTCAATTTCATTATCTTGTTGACCATCTGAATCAGAGGATGATGTCTTTGTCTCGCACTCTTTGTCGAGGTTGTCATCGGATTCAAAGGGATCCAACTCATATTCAGTACCAAACTATCATAAATGCTTATGATTTATCACCTACTTGCCCAAAAACTCTATGAAAATGAAGAAAGACAGATATAAAACAATCAATAGAATGCAAACGTGTGAAAATAAATGGAAAAATTACTCCGCAAGCAAAAATACGTTGAAATTGAGACACACCCATACCAGTAAATATTTATAAACTTTGAGTGGGACATATATACCCCGATGGGGCTGAAAGGGTAAATTAGGACTTCGCGAGACCAGAAAAATAAATGTATTCTTGGTCTTGCTAGTCTTGGTCTTGGAACAAAATGCGTCTAGAAATTTGAATTATCCAATTCAAATATCCAACAATTTATATGCATATAATAGGTATTTCGTATTTTTCAGTCTTTAAAATTGTCAATTTGTGCGTATAAACGAAGCGAAATAAATTTCTCCTTTCACCATAAGAAAATAATTTTTAAGAAACCTCAAATAAACTTGAAGTGAGACCCAAACAGCAAACAGGCCGACGCCCAACAGGCCAGGAAAAAGGTTTCAAAAGGGCCGGAACTGACAACAACGCATTCTCAAAATATTTCAAAAATTTTCAAATTCAAACCAAATAAGTATTAAATTTGTTTCTAACTTCAATAGGAGAAGGAGTGGACCACCGTGATCTTACAACACACTTTGAAACTGCCGTACTGATTTTGAGTGAACAAAAATTGAAAACCTACCATATGACAAATCAATAACTGAAATAAGATGCCATTATATTTTCCATCAGATTTTTCTTAATATTGAGTAGATTTAAGTTCATTATTTTTCTTTTAAGACCGAGACTCTTGGTCGAGAGCTTTGGTCTTGATCTCGAAAGTGAAGTCTTGGTCTTGGGAAAATTTATTAGTCTTGGTGCTTGGTCTCGGTCTTGGTCTTGTATCAAGACCAAGACAAGTCCAAGACTGGACTCTCGGTCTCGCGAAGCTCTAGCTTAAATTGTTCAGGAACGTTTGATTATCTGAGCAATTTAAGCGCAGCTCAGCGTTTAGGAAATAATCACCTGCAGATGTTCTGCGTAGCATAATATAGCCAGGAAAGTAGTGGTTTTTCTCCCGTTATCTACCATTTCCGTTCATTCAATGAACTACTGTGATAATGACTTTGAGTTTCTCTCTCTTCGTGACCATTTCATTCCATTTCTAGGTGGTGATATCTACCTTCAACCTTCTCACGATAATAATGAAACTCAATTCTTACGAAAAACATTATCGCCAGCTCGTCTCTTAGTCAACAATTATGGACACGGAAACTTCATCCACTAAATTATTCATCAGAAAAGAGGGAAAACCTCCACACCACACATTTATCGCAACCAAACTGGGTAATTTATGACTTTTATGAGAGTGGACCTTATAATATACAGTGGAATTTTCCCCCACTCCTTTTGCAGCCCGTGGGATTCGTGACGTTCAACACGAGAGCTGGAGCGGAAGCGGCCAAACAGGACTTGCAGGTGGGTCCCTTTAAGCCCTTTCACTCCTAAAGGGATTGTAGATATATCGGGGAGGTATAAGAAAGAACAGAGGAATTCGTCCAGTTATTATCATATATAATACCACAAGTGATAATATTTTGCCGGAAATATTCGGTGATTGTTACGATAGCTCGTTGCCTAGTAATTTCGTGAATGACATTGTTATCAAAACTACGAGCCGTAGGCGAGTAGTTTTGGATCAATGTCATGAGCGAAATTAGAGCAGCAAGCTGGAGTATGTCAATCGACGAATATTTCCAGGAAAAATAGTATCACGAGTTGTATTCGTATGACTATTTCATGATTGAATGAGACAAATATATATAAGAAATAGGAAACATAATTCAAGAATATTCCAACTCAAACTGCGAAGAAGAACATAATGATAGTAATGAAATACATAATTCAATTCTTTAAAAATTAACTACCTATACTTATAGTTATTCACAAAGTGGAATGTACAATTTTGATAAACAGTATTTTTTTATAATCTTGGAGATGGTTGCTCTCAAAAGAGTGTATACAATTGCTATCCAATTCAAACAAAATAAATTGAATTCATGTGACATGAAATAATTAAAAAAAAAAGTTATCGTCGCTGAGGGACTCGAACCATCGACCTTCGTGTCTTCGCGCAACAACGCTTACAGTTGCGCTACATCGGTAATTACTTTAGTAACAATAACTTGAGTCCTTGAAGAAGATTACTTTGAAAAGGAATTTGAATTCTAGTATTGTTGTGTCAGACCGTCAACAAATATGCAAACTTTTTAAATTACACATGAAACGTCCAGCCAAAATTAAATTGTCTCGCCTTTCGTACAAAATGTCTCACTAACGCGAATTATAAGTAAATAAAATAAAGAAGGAAACTTAGGTTATTGTCTCAGATTTGAATCCAAAGCAATCTTGACCAGACACGATGTCAAAATTTTATCGCTGATAAACGAGGTTTGTTGGTCACGTGTGGGTCGATTCGGCTTCTGTATTGGTAGAGCAAGTCCGATAAAATTTAATAAACAAAAAATATCGCTAGAATACAGAAGAAACCGTGGAAATGGTCGATTCTGATTGGTTCTCGAGATCAAGAGTGGAATAGTCAGTTGAATTGCCCTACAGGCTCGAATGATGCCAGACATTTGATGATAATCTGTTGGATTGCCATTCGTATACAAGAGCATTAATCTATCAAGAGCAATCAAATGCCATTAGGATTTCTGTCAATTTACCTGAAATTTTGGGAGAAAGTACTTCAAAGTGTGCTGAACAAAAGTCTCCATGGGCTCAAAGGATTTATATGAGTAGTTTTAGGGCTACGTTCTCGTGAATCCTCTGATGCTACGTATAGAAAAAACTTCACTAAATGATCTACAAAGGGGGTACACACGCACTTGTGAGATATTGAAATCGAATTCAGGTTAGGTTAGGTTAGGTGGATGTGCATTGTGGGTGTGTGTGTATACAGGGTCATACAAAGAGGCCAAAGTACCTGTCACGTCCACGTTGGTTGGCCTTGAGTAGCACAAAGAACAGATGATATGATTAATGATAAAACAGTTGATAGATGTGAATGTATGTAATGAAATATAGCTTCCTGAATTCCTGAATTCGGTTTTGATATCTCACAAGTGCCTGTGTACCTCCTTTGTAGATCCTTCAGTCAAGTTTTTTCTATACGTAGCATCAGAGGATTCACGAGAGCGTTGCACGAAAACTACTGATAGAAATCGTTCGACCCCATGGAGACTTTTGTTCAGCACACTTTGAACTACATTTCTCCAAAATTCCAGATAAATGGACCGAAAACAAAATTGCATTCGATTTGTGCGGGGTCCTTTCCTTTCGATTTGCCATCAGTTAACAACAGCAATTTTGAGCTTCCAATCGTATAGCAGTGCAATGTTAAATTGCCAATCGTATACCAAAGCAATTCCAAAATTTCCCATCATATTAAAGGGGAATTTTAAATTTTCATTTTTATACAAGACCAATTTTGAGTTGACATCCGTTAATAACAGCATTTTTAAACTGATTGAAGAATGATTTCAAACTGCCATTCGTATATAATGGCAATTTTATATTGCCATTCGTATACAAGCATTATTGTAGATTGCCATTCGGTTTGACCGGAAGTGATTCTAACTTTTTTATTTCAAATAGCTCCCTATATATTTTTTGCAATTTTTGATTTCTACTCAAAATTATTATAATTGAAATTTCAAATTGAACAAATTGGAGTAGGATATTTTTGTAATCTTGATTTCGACTTCAATAATAATTTGAAATTATCAGAATTGTACTAGATCATGTAATTTTCAAATCTTCATCTTTCGAAATGGCTGAGATAATCTATTGGGACACCCGGTATATATAAAATCGACAGATTGATGTTCATGATCTGAGAAAATACACAGGGTGTCCTCTAAATGGGTAAGCTAACTTCAAAAGATGATTATTTCAGTGATTCTAAAGAAAAAAATCCAGGATACAGAGTTAGTCAACTTTTTAAGAAAGTCGATTTTTCGTGAATCTAAATATGGCTAAATCGCGATATAACTTGAATGATCGTTTCTTTCTTGTGCCACCCCTCGTACATTTTCACCGAATTACGAATAATCCATCGATCCTCTGTAAAATATCCCTCGCAATCACATAATCATGCACTGACTCCGCACCCCGAGTGTGTCACACACCCCTGCAGTTTTACCTGCTTCTGAAACAGCATTAGCCGAGTAACTTGTACATTTTCCGCCCCTACAAACCCACCCCCAACCCTCAAGGTATGTCGCTACCCTATTTTGTGTCTTTTCATGTGTACTTCCCCATGCTAAGGGTTTCCATCCTTCCCCTTCAATGATATCGTGAGTCAGACAGACGGCAAGGAAATAGGTGTTTTTATGTTTGTTGTCCAACTCAGACAATATGAAACTGGGCTGAATGTATTTTTACATAAAAATACAATAGCTGCATTGCCATGGAGAAAGCAGATCTGTGATGTAAGCGGAGTAAATGTAAGAGCCGCTTTACAGGTCCCAGCAATTGATTGCTGCAATTCGTATTGCAGGCAATGAGGCAATAATAATTGCAGTCTATTTTATGCTGGAACGGAATGACTGGCTTGCAATGTCTTTTTGCCAAATTTTTCTGTTTTGTTCCTTTTTAAGTTTTGAGTTGGGTTGAAACACCATGAGAACAGTAACATTCGATTTGCATTTGATGATGCTTATATAAATAATGCAAGAAATACTTACCATTTGATCACTTCAACTTTTCCAGTTGTATTTCAGAAACCGTCAATTGTAACTCAGAATAGTCACTTGTATTTCAAAAATCAGTTGTATTTCAGAATCAGGGGCGAATCCAGGGGGTGGGGCATGGCCTCATGATGTTAAAATGTAGCTATATATACTGGATACCAGAAAATTAGATGTAGCATAACAATAATTTTGAGAAAACTTTCTTTCTATCACTTTTTCAATCCAATATAGTATTTAAGAACTCTACAGTCTACATACAGACTGAGTGATAAAAAACGCCTCAAGCCATAGCGCAGCTATTGATGATCCGAACAAAAAGCAAATGAAATTAATCAGATAATCATGTATTATATGCATATTCAAATTTCAACGGTAACGCCATTCATGTTTTTTTTTCTGATCTAGAATTCTTTCGGAATACGCAGTGATGTATGACAAGTAGACTTTTGAACAGGATTAGTTGAAATATTTGACAAATGAAACGTTGACGTTCATTATTCCATGGTCAGTTACTGCCACATTCAATGATACATCTCAAAATGTCATCAATATTTCTAAGTTTGTCAATTGAGAATTTATTTTTTATTTTACCTCATTTTGTTCGAGAAACAACAACAACAAAAACAACAACAACAACAGAAAAAGAATCTCGAACAAAAGATAATTAAAACCCATAGTGCCATATTTTGACAACAAAGAATCAGTCGCTTTCAGTTGGAATTTGAAATAATAATGATCAATGCCTACTCATAGCATTTGCTGAGTAATTTCTTTTGCGTTTTCATTTTCCAAAATCAGATACTTAATATGTATATGAATGAATGAATGTATGTATATGAAATATATCGAATATTTTGAACTTATTTTTTTTTAAACAGGAATTTTGATATACTTGAAAGGTAACTGATTACTATTCTTTGTTTACTAGAATCGATCTTTATGAAAAATACATTCCTCTCAGAAGGCACCAACGAAAATTCCTTTCTTTTTTACTATACAGTGTGTCCCGCTTTTCATGAATACACCCTGATATATCAGTTATTAATGGTGCAATTCTCTTGGAATTCTTGTAGTGATTGTATGTTAGAATAAGGAAGTATTTAGCAGAATGAACCATTTCATTCACCATTGGCGTGCGATGTTGAGGGGTACAAAAGAGAACTTTATTTGGGAAAAGGATATTTTAGGACTCATTTTGAATAACTTTTTCACAAGATTCATAATCAGCATACTCAAAAACCCCCCAATTCATATTTTCAAGATCCGAAGAGCTAAAATACAATATTTCAAAATCCCGCTTTTCATGATAATACCCTTAAATCTCAGTTATCAACGATGCTTTTTTCTTGTAATTTTGATGGTGATTTTATGTCAAAAAAATAACATACAATCACACCATCACAGTTTCGAAAAATCGCATCATTAATAACTGAGATTTTGTCGTAGTCATGAAAAGAGGGATTTTAGATTTTTCTTGAGATTTTGAAAATATGAATTATTAGGTTTTTGGGGATGGTGATTCTGAATCTTATAGAAACAGTTATTTAAAATGAGCCCTAATATCCTTTTTTCGAATAATGGTCTTTTTTGTACCCCTCAACATTGCACGCCAATGGTGAATGAAACTGTTCACTCTGCTAAATACTTCATTGTTCCAACATACAATCACCACTAAAATTTCAAGAAAGTAGCATCATTAATAACTGAGATATCAGGGTGTAT